TTGTAAATCCACTGGATAAACAGATCATTAAAGATAATAATGAGCATGTCATCATCGCTCATCTCCCCCTGGGGCTTAAGGTTGGGAGGCTATGCTATCAGAAATTAGAAATTATGATGGAAAGTCAGGGTGAGGAGGAGGAGGTGGTTTGCACTTTGCACTCTCTCTCTCTTAATCTCCAAAAAGCGAGCCGAGCCGCGAAGGAAACTTCAGACCTCTCGGTCACTCAGCTGCGCGGAAGAACGAGCAAGTGCCAGGGCATGTGGCAAAGCCAAAGCGTCTTAATGACTGGCACTACCCGGCCTGTGTGTGTGTGTGTGTGTGTGTGTGTGTGTGTATGTATGTGATAGCCTGTTGCCCCCCCCCCACATTTCTTTCCATTAGTGTGTGTTCAGCAGCCGGGGTTTGGGGGGCAGGGAGGATAATGTAACGCTGACACTTGAGGAACGGCGAGTGTCGTCCCTCCATTGTCTTGTGGAGCAATTATAGCAAACGAGTCTAACAAATGCACAATGTATAATTCAGAACATCCTGCATTTCTGCACCGCGCTTCTTCATGCCAACAGTATTCGTTACCAGCCCAGTAGATAAGCATCTATTTTTAATGTAATGACCCTGCTGTTTTCACTTATTTATATGTTTATTACAGCTCTAAATGTTAAGGCTTTTAGCTGATGATCTTTTGAGGAGCTTTCTAAAATCACTGTTATCTTGTATTATGGTTCATCATTTTTGGCTCATGCGGGTTTAACAACAAAGCAAACACAACTTGTAAATTCTCCAGAGAGTGGTGAACCATGCAATCACAAAAAGGAGAGTTTCGGAGTTGTTTATTCGATTAGAAAAGGAAATCCATTGGCTAATAAGACACATGAATGTTCTTTGAATCATAGTTGAGATGGTTATGTTGTGCATTTAGTGAACAGTTAAAGCCAGGAGGCAATTAACTTGTCTTAGCATAAAGACTGGAGTCAGCTAGCCAGCCTCTGTCAAAGTCAGACTTTAAAAATCTGCCTACCAACACCTCTGAAGCTAAATAATTAACAGGTTGTACCTTGTTTGCTTAACGCGCACACAGACTGAGAAGTAAATATGACGATTTGTGGTTTTATCCTGAGTTACAGAGCTGTAGAGAGCCAGGCTAGCCGTTTCCCTATAGCTTTCAGTCGTTGTGCTAAACTAAAATAAGCTAATCACCTCCTGTCTCTAGCTGCAAAGTTGGTGTCAATTTTCTCATCTCACTCTCTGCAAAAAGCAGATAAGAGCATTTCCCCAAATGTCAAACCATCCCTTTAAGTAGCCTAAATGTTAAGTATATGCTCCTGTCTTTTGTAGCAAAATACTTGGGTTATAACATAAATATGCCAACTTAACTGTTTGAGCCCTTTAAAAAGGATCCCATTGTGAAAACAAGTTCATTAGACCAGTAGTTCCTAATCTGGGAGTCAGGACCGCCCAGAGGGGGATTACAACATAAATCTGAACAGTTGCGAGATAACTAAACAGAAGAGGAAGGCAGACAGAGCCATTTTTGTTTCATAAAATTTCTTTTTCTGATTTTTTTTCTTGTAAATTACTGCGAGATTTCACATCTTCAGGCTCCCAAAAAATATTCTAATGAAAGCGTCTGCATGATTGGTTGAACTGCGTAGACGTGCAGCCTGTGACGTCTAGACAAAAGCCTCTCTCCCTCGCCATCCTCCAAGTCAGTCTCCACACTCCTTCCTATGGATCTGATCTCTGGGAAAGAGATTCCTCTATTCACTCAAAGCGCCGTGAAGCACAGAGCAAAGACCTAGCTTCCATCTATGGACCTAAGGCGTGGGACTTTCCCCCCTCTGCTCGTCAAGGAAGCCTTCTTTAATAATGCAAGGCGAGGATCTCTGCGACAGGGCCCATTCCTGGAATACCTGACACAGGGTAGCTGCAGGAGGAGGCCTTAACTAAACTCTGCTGGATGCTGGAATCCGAACCATTTGTGGTGCGAACATTGGCAAACGCTGTCGACATTCCACCTGGCAGTAACACTAAATACACCTGAGAACTGCTGATCTTTATACACTACAGCCTCTAAATATGTATGAGGTGAGGCTTCGAGGCTGGTGGAGCAGCTACTGTACTCATCAGTGGGATTATTTGACTGCAGAAAATGAGCGTTTCATGCCCTGTGGTGAGGGAGACGAACCAATGAAGCGTGCAGAGAGGGGGGATAGTGGCAAGCACCCGTTTATGTTGTATGTGTGTGTGTGTGTGTGTGTGTGTGCTGATGACACTGCAGAACCAAGAAGAGACAGAGAAGAGAGGAATCACCCTCCGCACCGCGCTGAAAGAGCTGGTCTAGAGCCAGTGAAATGATTTATTCCTCTCTGGTAAAGAATAGAATAGAAGGTCAGGAGGGCTGAACACAGAAATGACCTCAGAGGCACTCACGCTGTGTTGATGGGTATGAGGAAGGGTGGGGCTGGTTTTCAGATGAGCCCTGTGCCCTTCAAAACAAATATTCGGGGTATCCCGGTTGCTCAGGAAGACGGATATGGCCCGCTCGCAAGATTTGACTCATATCTGCTGTGATATTATCTCTCGTGCTTGAATATTTCCTGTCACTCCCCTATTGAATATGATCAAAAAACAAACAAGTGGTTGGTTGATATGTTTATCATTTTTCCAGATTCTCTACAAACGGGGCAAGCAACCGAGCGCATGTTTATGCTGGCAGGGAAAACTCAACCTACAGCACTGCATAAACAACATACCTAGTGGCATTGTGGGTAGACAGGAAGAGGTTAGAGCAAAAACACCTCAGCTAGAGGGTGAGGGAAAGGGGGGGGGGGGGGTGTTCTTAGTCCTTGTTGCAGGAACAAAGATTAAGCTACAAGAAAGCCAACAAGAAGCAAATAGGTCAAACTGGGCTGAAGGCAAAACATCAACATTGACTGTATCTCAAGTCAATAGGCGATGCAGGTTCTCCTGGCTGTGCCACAGATTAGCTGTCAGCCCCCGTTCTGAAGACTTTCCTGTTGCCTGTGTCTGTGAGAAAATCCTATTTAAATGTAGATGACACAGCCACCGCTTCTACCTCCATCTCCCAGTCCCATCCTCCGTATCTTCACCACCACCACCACCACCCCACCCTCATTTTTTTTCTGGCTCCGTGAGTCTCTCTCTGTCGCTGCAACTGCAGTGAAATCGAAGATATTTGACGGACCGTGACGCCTGCAGGAAAAAAGGCCCCCCCCCCCCCCCAAAAAAAAACACACACACACAATCACACTTTGAAGCACGATGCCAAGATAAACAAATCAACTGTGGCTATATGGCGCACATACACAAAGAAGGTGATAATGCACATCTTAAAAGAAAGGTCAGGAGGAAAGATATTCAAAATGTGGGCTAAGAATGGATGTTTTATTCATGCGTGCTGTTCAAAAATATAGATCCAAAACTGTATCATTTATTTACAAGCGCATGGTGAGCACACACACATTGCCAAAATACTAAGAAGCAAAAATACACCCTTGAGGCTTTGCTTCTAACCCAGTAAAGCCCCAAAGCATTTCAAAAAGCTGCATTAAGATGTCAGCATGTGAGCTTTGTGTGATGCTTTTACCAGCATGCTTTATTCCCACTAATTGCTTTCAGTAACATAAACATCTGGGCTCATCTCAGAGGATAAGGTTCAGTTTGCTGACCAGAAAATGAAATACAATTTGAGCGTAAACTTCAGCCACAAATTCAGATTTCCCAGCCAAGGTTAACTGGTGATAACTGCAAATAAAATGTAGAAATGTTTTTAAATCAGTTCTACAAAGAAAATGTCATGCTTTTCTTTTACTACATTCCCCTGCACAGTTTGATTTGTTGTAAAAAAAAAAAAATCCATCATCAACACTCCAACTGTATGTTTAGCCGGGCTTGTGATCAGATGAGCGGCACTTCAGTCACCGTGGTTAACCTTTGACCTTGAATCTAACCCATGACCACAGTTATTACGGCGGCATCATAAATATGGAAAGACAGACTTCAGCTGGAGTCTGAATGTGACATCTGATGTGTATCTTTTCAATGCAGATAAAACTATCACAGGTCGCAAGTGTATCTGCTTCTGTCAGCAGCCTGACACACATGCCAGCCGGCCGGATCCCTCCACAGACTGGCTGTGGAATCTTTCAGTCAAACAAAAGAAGCCTACTTGAATGCCTTTGTTTGGGGCTAAGCTTATGATAAGGTGTCTCGCCTACTATGACCTTGCTGCACTGCCCACATGAACGCACACAACAACTTTCATTGCATCACAGCCAACAGTGATCCAGGATGTCAAGGAAACAGGCGAAAAATGTGATCAAAAATGAGTCATTTCTGCCTCAAAGATCATTCCCACCTGCCTCTTCTTCCAGTAACCAATGTGTCACAGCACCTGACGTTAGAGCTAGATCATACATGGATACAAAATCCCCTTCTGTAGTTGCAGTGACAGTCTGCAACCCAACGCTTCATCAGTCTTTGTGTCTGCATTGATCAGGTGGGTAACAACTGAGGCCATCTCCTGCTGGGGAAAGGCTGCAGCTGCCCCAACACAAACACTCTTATTAGCATTAAAGATAACCAGGGGACATGTCTGCTTGTGCTATCTATAACATTAAGGTTGTAAAAAGCTCCTGGGTAATGAACTGGTGGTCAAACTGGGGTCTGAGGATCTGTGAGGGGCACGTGGGCCTTAAAAGGGGTCCAATCAGATGTAGAGAACAAGTGAATATGTCAATTTTATAAAAGAAAATGGTAATTATTGATTTTAATGTGATTCCCATATATCAATACTACATCAAAAGAAATAATATGACATGTGAGGTGAGGCAGTCATGGCTGTTTGTCTATGTGAAAATCCCCAGTGTAAACAGACAGATTGGGACATTTCCCATTCACAACCAGCCCAGAAAATGATTAAATCATACCCGGCTCTTGCCCGCCCACCCCCTTTTTTAACCGTGGCCCCTGTCACATACCTCGGCACACAGCTGGGTGAGGAGCGGTCCACCTCCCAGGTAGCGTACAGGTTCATGTGGACCGGCCGGTTGGAGGTGATGCTGACCGGTTTGGAGGGCTGCATGTGCGGCGAAGGGACGCCCCCAGTCCGCGGGAGCCCTCCTCGCTCCGACATCCTGGAGGCTGAAAACGGGCGTTCAGACGGAGCTAATGGGAGGAATACCCGTAGTAGCCTGGCTTCTCCGTGTGTGTGTGTGTGTGTGAGAGAGAGATAGAGAGTGTGCTGTCCTTTTTTCGGTGCTGTCGGTCCTCCTCCTCCTTCCTTTAGCCTTGCTTTTTCAGGCGGTGCAAATGCGTAAAACGCTCCCGTACAGTCAGTGCAAACGGAAAGTTGCTAATCGCCGCCTGATAGTGAAAACATTGCAGTCGTCGGGCAGGGGGGGGGGTTGTACCCGAAGGCAGGCGGCAAAAACCCCGCGTCTGTCTCCGTGTGTCTCCCTCTCTCTCTCTCTCTGCTCCTGCGCTTCAACTTCGTGTAGGCTCGGTGTGCTGCTGGTTGTCGGTGCAGGAAGCGGAAATTTTCTCTCGCAGAAGTCGCACAATGAGCAGAAAGCAGCAGCGAGCTACGCCTCTTCAGTTAGAGGACGTAAGTGACTCCTGAGGCCACGAGCGCGGGGGAGGGGTGGGGGGGCGGTGGGTTGGTTGGTGGGGTGGTGGCCAATAGTAAGCTGTAGTTATGTTACTGTAATTTTTTAAATCATGCGTTTCATTTCATTATTATATAGTTGTCTCTGATTTTTTTATACACATTTCCTTTAGCATATGTGTACATCAACGAGTATTTGCAGTATATCGGTATATATTTAGTATATATGTTTTTGTGGCATGTGATTCGATTGTCCAATTTGTTTTTATTTTTAAAGGTTGTGCTACATTACACTTAGGCTAAAATCACTGAACTAGACGGAGGGATAGAGATTTGTTTTAAATTTATATAATATTTTTTATTATTTTCATTTGTTTTTTTTTTTAGCCTATTGTTCTATTCTACTATTCCATTCTATTGTTTACTTTCAAGATTTAATTTATTAATTTATAATATAATTTTTAATAATAACAATAATTTTGGCATATGAGGTTAACTAGTTAACCCATTACATGTAGGCTAGATGTCATACCTCCTGACCATGTGGGATATATTGAATATATTCTGCTATTATATATATATATATATATTTATGCTATTACTGTATCTAATACAGTATATATAGTCAGAATATCTCTATATAAGCCAGTAGACATATGGTAGTATAATATATCAGTACTGATTATTTTCATCTTACATGGAAAAAAAGGTAAAAACATGAAATGTACCTACAGGTACAGCTGCCTTAAAGGCGTGGTCAGTGTTTTGGCTATATTGTGCATTAACCTAAAGCCAACTAACAACAGCATTTTGCAGTGTCAAAGGTCAGTAAAAAGGTTGCAATTCACCTGGACAGGACTGTATATTGAATATTTTATGGTTATCATTAAATAAACAAATCAAATTGATTATCAACACCAATAGCACACACTGGAACAACACCTTTTCCGCCTTAAGAGTGGCACTGATTTAAACCATTGATAAACTTTGGAGCTAATATTTACCCATCATTCACTGCTTTTCCACTCACTCCACCTGAATATTACTTCCTGTATCTGAAGAGAACTCTTTCATACATAAACCTTATGTGTATTCTGGCAGGTTACTGAGGATCAGTATATGGGTAAGCTTTGTGGATTGTTCTGTTTTAGGCCCATATGGCACAATGACTGGAGTCTCAGGTGTTGCTGAAATTATTCCCATTAGTCATACACACATAAGAGATTACACACACACACACACACCTTCTTTCATCTGTTATGAGCAGACAAATATACAAAGGTGAAAAACCGGTTACAGTCTGTGGATTCAGCTCAACTGTCATATATGACAAGAAGAGAGAAACCCCAGCTATTAATGTCCAGGGCTTGTTAGTCTCACATCCAGAGGGCTGATTATGAGGTGATAATGTGGTGTTCATGTATTTTTCCACTTCTGTTTCATCAACTAGAAGCCTTACTTCACCCTTTTCCCCTCTAAAACAGACACCATGGTGCAGGTCTCCCAGGGTTTGGCTGCCTGACAATGCAGCATGAAACAGGTGACAAAGGCTCACGTAACAAATACAGGGCTATGATTACAATCTCTGGATCTGAATATGAATCAGAAGTCACCGACGTCACTGCAAGGCTGGTTGCCATCAGCTTGACGTTTCTCTATGGGCAGATTATCACAGCTGTGATCGGGGCTTACAACAACATTATGGTCATGGATGGATGTGTGCTGCTCTGACTGGCTGAGGATACACACACAACTAGAAACATAATGAACATTTACCACAACATTCTTATTGAGATTTAGACAAAGTCTCCCTGAGGATTATGCTACCTTCAGGGAATGTTGGAAATATGACAATTGAACAAATGAAAACAAAATGACTGGAGGCTGTTGCTTGTTGAAGAGTAAATAACCACTGGTAATAATGCTGTAACAGAGAGCAAACAGTTAGTGTGTACTGTATGTTAGTGTTGTATGCTTGTGCAGTATGTTCTCTCTGTAACTTTCATCATGCATATTTGTTTATATGAAAACCATTAAGACGTCAGTTACATGGATTTTTAATTACAGCACTGTGCTGCTTGAGTCTTGGTTAAAAAAATTAGCTACTACAAAGAAAAATGTTGGTATTTCCAACCACAAGTACTTGATAAACAAGTTTAAGTTCAACATGAGTATGAAAGGCTATAATCATAGTCAAATTTGAAGCTGGTTTGTATACCTCCTCTTACAACATGCCAATTTAACCACAGTAGAACTCAGCCTTTTGGCATTTGCTGTCAGTTTTGTGTTTTCTCATGTCATGCTGCCATTAGACGTGGTAAACCTCTCGCAGGTCTCATTCCTCTTCGACTGAAGGTTTGACACTCGGTGCAATCAGCTGCTTCACTGATGAGCTAGAATTAAAACCATGCAGACTCTCTGTTGTCAGTGCCTCGCTCTGGATAATCAGCTGAATGACTTAAATGCAGTGCAAAACCCCTGCTCTTTTTAACACGCTTCTCCCACCACCAGCTCCTGCCATTGATAAAGAGATTAGAATCAAGCAGATTAAAACATGGTCACGGGATAATCCTGGGTTACTTTTTACACAGCGCCCCAAATCTGCCAGGTCATCAAGTGACACTGGACACGCTCCAAATCCAACGTCAAAGTCAATTAAGTTTATTCCTTCTCTTATGCAACACAGCGATACTTCCTATATGTAGAGCTATGCAGCATGCATTTACATTGTATTGGGCAGTGTATACAGTATTTGCATTAAAATGGAATTCCTTGGCGTAATGCCAGAGTTTTACCTGTTCCCATCTGAATTATATAGATGTGCAGATGATTTCTCCTTTCAAAATGCACAAAATGCATATATATATATATATATATATATATCATGGCTGAAACTAATGACCATTTTAACTATTGATGAATCTATTCTTATGGGACTGCTGAAAATGACTTTATCAATGTAAAATTATAGTTTTACAAGTCATTTAGGAACAAAGGCAGAGACTCTTTTAAACTCTGATTGCAGGAGTAAACAATAACAAAACACTGAATGGATGGTTGGCTCTGTGGGCAGTATCATCACAGTCTGTCGGCCATATTGAAACAATGAGGGGCGCTGGCAGGTGAAGATATGCTTACATGCCAGGAGATGATGTCATTAGGGGCAACTGTCCCACTCTCAAGCGTGTAACTGTGAAAATGGACATTTGTCGTCACAAATAAGACTATGCAAATACCCACTGCAACCATCAGTAGTAGTGGTGTTGTATTTTTAAGACAATGAAGGCGTTTTGTTTGAACATGCTACTGCTCCCTGTGAATGTGAACGCGTGTGCACTAGTGACCGAGTCATTACAGGGCTGCCGCAGCTATTTAGGTCACTGTGCTTCCTAGATGGTCAGGTGACTGTCACGTTAAGAGTCATCTACTGCCCCCAAGCGGTGGAAACGTGGAATGCACCTTGTTGTATTGGAAAACAACGGCAGCAGCAAGGGGCCTTCATGTTTGTGAGAATTAATGAGTCATTACTTGAAAGTCTGAGACATTAACCCCCAAGTCCCTCATGCATGTGGTGCTCCCCTGTTCACACTGCGATGACATCAGTGTTACCACAGCAACCGATTTGGTAAAAGACCTGAGTCAGTTGATCTTTTATAATAAGAAAGGTTGTCTGTCTCGGGCCAGGCCCCGATGCCCCACCTGGTGGAGCATGTGCCATTTGGGCTTAGTCTTTGCCCCGACGGCCTGGGTTTGAGTCTGGCCTGTGGCCCTTTGCTGTGTACCATCCTCTCTCTCTCTCTCTCTTATGACTGTAATAAAGGCAAAAGCCTGAAAAAAATAACTTAAAAATGAAAGATAGTCTGTCTCCAACTTTCTCTCTGAGTGATCATGTTACAGTTAATTACAGCTGAACTCACAGCTCAGTCTTTATCTTTCATTTATGTATTTGGTGATTTTGTCAGACGAAGTCAGTTAGCCTATAAAATCAGGATTTGACCAGAGGCGGTCCAGACATATACCAGGCTTAGGCCTATAGTTGTTGGCTGCTGAATTGAGACACAGCTTCGATGTATCTGATCATAAATTGTGACGTCATTTGGAGGTTCCATCAAAAAACCTGTGTAGTGATGTCATAATGTCACAAAGATTCCATAATGTATGTGCCTTTGATGCGTCACTAAGTTTCCCAGGTTCAGAATTAGTTTCCCCGCCAGAGAATACTAAACATCACACCATTTACAGTTGCAGCGTACTGGACGACACACAAGTCAAAAATCCCAGAGAAGAAAACGACTTGACAGATATCATGAAGCCATCGCAGAAAAACACGGAGGCTTCTGATTCTCCCGCCTGCAGATGTGAAGACACAAGCGGGATAGATTATGACAAGCTCCACATATTCATCACGGTGCTGACGCTGAAAGTGCTGAAGAAGTGTGGCGTCGCCATAACCCGCAAGCAGGATGAGTGGGTGACCCGCACCAAACGTCTGTTGGAAAAGATCGAGGACGGACTCACTGTCCGTCGAGGATTCTGCCCCGATATCAAAGACGCCAAGCGGGTCTGCAAGGCTGTGGTCAAAGACCTGCAGAAAAAGTTCGGCGGAAAACGCAAACTGGAGACTGCGATTCTGTTAGAGCAACCGTCTCTGGAAACTGTCGTGGCAAAGTGTTTTCAGCAGCACATCCTGCAGCTGTCGCGCTCTGCTTGGCCCGAAACCAACGACTACAGCGTCTGGAAGTTTACTCTGGACTTCCTGTTGGCCGCTTCAATAGTAATCGCAGGCTCATTATTATTATTATTATTCGTATAAACATCCAGAAGCTTTAGAGCCCGCTGGCAGGTGGAGTAGGTCATAACACACAACAGCATTGGCCTGTCCCCTGTCAGAAAAGGGCCTCATAGTGGATCAGTGTGGACCCAGGCCCCAA